TACTGTCTTTAACTTTACCAAAACTTTGAAAATATTTTCTGTCAGAACCAGACAGTTACTATTTTGTATGTGTTATTTTATAAGGTTAGATCAATTTGACTGGGCACATGTGGAAACACTAATGTCTCTGCGTGAGTGCAGCTACAGCATGCACGCTCAGGACATTATTACCTGCAGTGTCTCCTCAGTGAGGACTGAACTTGGCAAAAGAGTCTTCTCCTACTCCGCTCCTGTTTCCTGGAATATCTTGCAAAAAGATCTGAAGCTCCCGACCTTGACCTCTCTAAGTGGCTTCAAACATCCAAGTTCACGGTAAAAACCAATGCAGACATGTTCCTGATTTTAGTTTTCTACACCGCTTTACAACCTAGCTGCTTTTTTTTGTTGTTTATTTTTTAATACCATTTTCTTTCATTTCTCTTTCATTTACTCTTCTCAATTTGTATTCTATATTTTGTGACTGTCTACTGTTGTCATCACTCTCTTAAATCAGGTCTCTCTTGTAAATGAGTCCCTGAGGCTCAATGAGACTAACCTGTATAAATAAAGGTTGAATGTATATATATATATATACTTCCATGTATCTACCGTCAGACAGCTGGATTCCAGCCCAGTGTCCATGTCTCCTCCTAAAACTAACGTGACATCAGAGCAGGAAGGCAGAGCCAAGCCTGCAGGGGAAAACCCTTCATCAGCCTCCCGTTCTGCACCCAGACCACCCTCCACTCTGCCTTCACCTCACTGCACAGACAGACAGCAGGACTGAGAGGAGGGAGACTGAAGGGCATGAACCTGCAGGAGCAACACAGCTGAGGCGCCTTTTGGACCACCGACTGAACACATTGACACGGGTAAGGCTTTTACTTATCAAAACTCGTTTGATTTTAAAAGCATCTTTTTACATCTTATGAGTTAGACTTCAGAAGTTTTTTAAAAAAAATGAACAATAAACCAGCTCAAATAATTTATTAAAAACAAAACCTAAAGTAGATAAATCATACAAACCAAAAAAGTTCAAAGTTACAACAGTGAGCTCCACATTCATCATCATCAGCAGAAAAATCTCGTCTTCCCAAGTCATAGTTTTCTATTAGATTACATGATGTCCATCTCTAAAAAACTATTTCTGACTGTGTTTTTTAAATTGTGTGTGTGACTCGGTGGGGGGGTGCACATGCACGTGTCAGACTGTTAGCATAATATCCTATGGATCATAAATCAGTGGATGAATTCTAATGAAACATGCAGGAAATAATTGTTGAATGTACAAATACAGCTGATTAAATTTTGAATCAATGCAATTTGAAATGGAGCCAACTCAGGTGAACAAAAACAAAATCAGCCATTCCTGCTGACGTTACACACACTGAGCTGAAGTTCAGAGTGATCACATGCAAGATCTTTGACTAACACTTTGGTACTAACTGTTGTCTGTTAGCAAAATATCTCATGAATCACCCGACAGACTGGAGTGAAACTTTCTAACAGTAATTGTTGGGCTGACGTCAACAGCTTTTTGTTTTTGAAGCCAAATAATCTCAAGATGACCACAACACACACTCAACATTAGCTAACACAGAAATAAAGATTTAAAAATAAAGATACCGAGCTCAAATTTGATGTGGTAGTAGCTGAGGGTCATACTCAACACATACTCCAAGTGCTAACGCTTTGTATACAATATTATTCGAACAAAAAGGCTTTAACGATATTGCTTGTCAACATAAAATGATCTGTCTAAAACTGGCATGAAAGGTGGTGGGGGATGTTTCCACCCCGTGGGACGTCATCAACTAACGTCAGGGCGCAGAACTTCAGGGAGAACCATGGATCAGGTTTGCTAACGTATGTCTTCTGTGAAGTTCCTCGTGTGGTGAGGCTTGGGGATCACGTTGCCTCCTCAGCCTAATCACTGGAACCAGCTCTTGTGGTCTACTTGGCACAGGGAGCTCAAAGTCTACAGTTCTGGAGGAAAAGCCACAAGAAGTTAGACAAGAAACAGTGGAAGATTTCAAATTGATGATGCATTTATTCTGTGTTTTAGAACTGACATAAGAGCAAATGAACCTGAACGCAGTGTTCTTTAAGATTCAGATGTTTAGGTTTTGGATGTTAGATGTCAGAACGCAGAACAGAGCTCAGTGGTCCCAGGAGGAGCCAGCAAGCTGATGTTGAGTCTGAACGGTTTATTGGATGTTTAGAGACAAAGCTGCTCACAATTACTGATGACTTTAAGTTTATATTAGACAACAATAAACTTTATACTCTGATAATTCTTGACGCTGGTGCAACTAATCGTGGAATTCATCTTCAGCATCTGTAACACAGTTTATATGTTTAAAAGGTATAATTCTCAGATGATTATTGGATCCATTAATTATTTAGTGGATGCTCAGATGCTGCATGCTTGGATTAATGAGCATGCATCAGGATATTTTCAGATGACTACTTTTTAATCATGGAAAAAACATGGAGCCATCGTGTCTGGCATGCCACCCACCTTTGCTACCTAAGATGTCAGTGATCCTGTTTTTCTAACGTTCTTTTTGCTTTTGGTTTGGTCTATGCCACAGCTACTAGTGCAGCTGAGCTACCGTCAGGCTCTTTTAAATTGTAGAGACGTGGACAGCTTTTCAATCAGCTGTGGTAAACAATCAAAGCTGCTGCCACCAAGGTACCTTGCCTCAGTAGACACCTTTCTATGATGTTCTCTTGCCACCCTGCCCACTGAGAGCTGCCACCGGAGACGTGAAGGAGAAGTGGACTTCATGTCAAACTCCCGATCTAGGACACCCATGCTGTTCATCACTGCCTAACTAAGGACTGCTATTGTTAACTCCAGCTACTTGTTCTGGACGCCAGATGCTCATGCACACGCTGCCAGCACGTAAGGACCTGCACTTGGGGGCTGCGCTCTGGAGAACCTCTGTCAAGGATCTCATCAAGCTGTCTGGAACTCTGTTTGGCGCTGATTAAAATCAGATCACTCACTAACAACATTTGATCATGAATGACTTTTTCTCCTCAAACTCATCAGATCTTCTTCTTTTGACGGGCACATGGATGAAACCAGACGAGAACGGTGCCTTTTTGGAGCTTGGAGAAGAAGATTCATTATTTAAATTTACAAACTGGAAACTATCAAATAAATATGGTATAAACCATTTTAGAGCTGTTCCTGTAATCCCAATATCATATTCAAGCCTCTGTAGTAAAATATTGTGATCAACTGTATCAAATGCAGCACTGAGGTCTAACAGGACCAGTATAGACACAAGTCCATTGTCTGAGGCCATGAGAATATCATTAGTGACTTTTACTAGTGCTGTTTCTGTGCTATGATGAGCTCTAAACCCTGACTGAAACTCTTCAAACAGATTATTTCTTTGTAGATGTTCACGCAACTGACCTGCAACTATTTTCTCTAGAATTGTTGAGATGAATGTTAGACTGGGGCAGCCCGGTGGCGCAACTGGTAGAGCTGCTGCCTCTCAGCGAGCAGGTCCCCTGGTTCAAATCCCGGTCCAGGGGCCTTCCTGGGTGGAGTTTGCATGTTCTCTCCGTGCATGCGTGGGTTTTCTCTGGGTACTCCAGTTTCCTCCCACAGACCAAAAACAAGCATGTTGGGCTGATTGGTAACTCTAAATATTCCCTAGGTGTGAGTGAGAAAGTGAATGGATGTTTGTCTCTATGTGTCCCTGTGATGGACTTGCAACCTGTCCAGGGTGTACCCCACCCCTCGCACAGTGATTGCTGGACATGGGCACCGGCGACCCCCGTGACCCAAAATGGAAGAAGCGGGTAAAAGAAAATGGATGGATGAATGTTAGATTAGATATGTCTGTAATTGGCCAGAATTTCTGAATCAAGAATATGTTTCTTAAGTAAAGGTTTAATTACAGCAACCTTAAAGTGTTGTGGTACATAAGTATTCATTAAAGACAAATTAGGAAGATCCTAAATGTGGATATTAATTAGGGGGAATACCTCTTTAAACAGTCTGGTTGGGATGAGATCTAGCAGGCATGTGGATGGTTTGAATGGAGCTATTATTTCTGACAATTCGGAGAGCTCAACAGGACAAAAACTGTCCAAACATGAAGAAAGTTCTAGTGACATCTCTCAAGCTGCCTCATCCGAGGGAACAGAGACAACAGTAGGAAGGATGGTGTGAATTTTCTCTCTAATTGAATTAATTTTTTAAAATAAAGAATCTCATGACATCATCATTGCTTATAGTTGTAAGGATACATGGTTCAACAGAAATATAATTTTTCATTTGTCTAGCAACAATACTGAACAGAAATCTGGTGTTATTTTCATTCTCATCTATTAAAGATGAATAAAGTTCTAGCTTTACGGAGAGCTTTCTTATATGTTAGCAGACTATCTCTCCAAGAAAAATAAAATTCTTCTAGATTAGTGGAGTGCCATTTTCTTTCCAGCTTTTTAGATGCCTGTGTTAAAGTATGTAACTAAGACTGGAACCAAGGAGCTAATCTCCTCTGATTGATTACTTTCTTTTTCTGTGGAACAGTTTCATCGAGCCAAGTATGAAAGAAGTTGTAAAACTATCAACAAGATCATCCAAGTCACTGTTTTCTATTCCATTACTCTGCAAGACAGAGGAAAACAACAATAGAAGATAATTCAAAGTCCATGCTCAATAATCAAGGTAAAAAAAAATCCAACAAAGTAGTCAGGTAATCTGGACGGTTGCTTTTTTTGTTGGGAGAAAAACAAAAAAGCATCAAAAACCATCTTATCACCAGCAAACTGGTTGGTCCACTATGTGTGTGCTGCTTGTGGGACTGAGTTTGTTGTGGCTCCTCAGACTTATGAAGTACTTTGGATGAAGGATGAACTGAATTTTGTAGAATGGATGAGATTAAATTTGGTTACAGCATTCTCTGATAAACACCTACTGTAATGAAATTTACTCTCAGTGACTGTGTAGTCATTTAATGTAAACTCCAAGGTAATTAAATAATGGCCAGACACAACAGGATTTTGAGGATATGAATAAGTACTTTATCTGCATGCCATAAGTCAGAAGCAGATCAAGAGTGTAATGATGAGAATTAGTAGGTGTTTGGACGTTTGGGGTAAAACCAATTGACTCTATTAAATTATTGAAGGCTATGCTTAAGCTATCACTTTCAACATCTATATGAATATTGAAATCACCCATTATTATGACTTTATCAGTATTTAGTAGTCATTCAGTTAAGAAATTTGAGAATTCAAACAAGAACTGAGCAGAGGAGCCTTGAGGACGATATATAACAGTTAGTGTGAGTGGCCTTTCTGATTTCCATTTTGGACGAGAACGACTGAGGGACAACAGCTCAAAAGAATCATAACTAATAACTGGTTTCACATTTAATAATCCTGACTGAAAGATAGCAGCTACTCCTCCGCCTCGATCAATTGTTCCAAGAACATGAAAATTTAAATGATTAGCAGGAGTGGATCTAAACCATTTCCTATTGACGTCAGCTCTGTTTTCCCCAGTCACTGACAGATTAAATCTTTGAGATGGAAGACAGTGTGTGAGTTACTGTGTGCTTTTATTTTGTTTGTTTCTTTCTTTGTTTTGGTTTTCAGAGAAGTGCTAGTTTCATTACTTTTGTACTGTTTGGATTTTAAATGTAGTCTTACATAAGAAAAAAGTCAGAACAATGTGCGACCATCTGTTTGTAAGAAGTCATGAAGGGCACAGTTCATAAAGAGAAGCGTCTTCTGGTCATGTCCAGCTTTCAGAACGACATGAAAAAGAATGAAAAATAATAACCTTTTATTTGATTAAACTGTAGGCCTATGACAAACGCAACGAATGATCTGGTGGAAAATAAAGCTGGTGGGAAACAGTGCAGATGAGATCTAGAGCGGCTGCTGCAGAGCCTCTATGTAAACACTGTCAGTGCTGTTAGGCCCAGGAGGGGCTGGTGATCCGCTAGAGATGTGCACGTGGGCCAACTACAACAAGTTTTCTTTAACCTTTAAAGCAAGATGAGCTCTCATTATAAAAATAAAAACTGACACTGTTTAATAATAATAAACACTCATCATCTTTGCTTTGAAATCATCTCATTCTGTTTTTGCTGTTTTGGTCAAATTCTCAAACATTTTTTTTTCATGGAGCTGTTGAGAATTTAGGCGATTGCATCATTCTTGCATTGCTAATTTGTCTATAAGCACATGCAATACAGTAGAAATGTCTTTAAAACCCCACAACTTATTGTCCTCAAACTTGGTGAGAAACATTATTTAGATGCGTAGTTGACCACAAGTAAAAAAAAGTCTAGTGGTGATGTTGTTTTTAATTTAATTTGCCCCTAAACACAATTACAGTATAGTGCCAACCTGAGGCTGTGTGTTAAAGTGCATTAAAGTTAAAACGTCTTTAAAACCCACAGCTGAATTTACACAAGCTTGGTGAGAAACATGTTTTAAATGTGTGGAATCAAAATAACACCTAGATGAAATTTGGCCTTTTTTTTAACGTTATTCCTTTAAAGAGGGACCAACGGCGCAAATGCAGCCAGGCTGTAAAGGTTGTTGTAATCGAGGACTCTTGAGCGAGAGTAAGGTTTTTGAATCTGGGGATAGTTTTACTGTGGGGGCTTAGGATGTGTGAGAGAAGCAGAGCGTACTCTGTCCAACCGCGGCTGAATCTGCAGAGCACTAATATCCAATATCCAACCTAAAACCAACTTCACCATGGTCTCTATTCACACAAGGAGAGCTGTTGTTTAAGCTACTTGTTGTGCTATTAACTCTAAAATAGTTATTAACTCTAAAATAGTTATTAACTCTAAAATAGTTATTAACTCTAAAATAGTTATTAACTCTAAAATAGTTATTGACTCAAGTGGTTACTTAACTAGATGTTTAACAACCCATTAAAATACATCAGAATGCAGGAAATGGCATCTGCTTTATTAAAATATTATGGGGGAGAACCTCCAGACCCCCCCACACACACACATATTACAAATACTTCTGTCACCAATGGTTGGGAGCCTCAGAAGGGTTCTGTTGGTCCGATCCACTACACTGCTCTTTAGTTGAATTGGGCTCAAAGTCCGCCTGAGTTTGGCTCCCATCACAAGTTTACTTCCAGGGCCAAGCCGTGCTGCTGAGCATGAGAGGGACATCTTTTTTTTACCATTCTCTCCTTCTCTGCTTCATTCTTTGTCTTGTCAAAACCGACCCAATCAAGAGTCAGACTGTCTCTTACAACCACAGAGCCTCCAGAACATTTCTCAACATTCTCTGTTCTCGCTGCTGCACCGTCGTCCATTTAAAACAACCAAATTCTTGAGTTTTTACCAAATTGTATAAATAAAAACAAGCCAACAAATTATACCCACTTGCTGACATTTAGCGTTTTTGCTGACTGAAAACTCTTTCTATAAATCTATCCAAGTTGGCTAGATTTAATGCACTGGCTTCAAATTAAACTGGAGCCTTAGAGTCATCAGCCAGAGTGTCTGTGGAATATGCTTTTTTGATTTTTTTTTGTTTGTTTTTTTACTGACACTCAGATGATTACGTTCCCATGCTCCACATTAGTCGTGTAGATATATACTGAAGGTCTAAGCCTATAGATCTACAAAATCATTAAAAGCAGATTTCAACACTTGCACACTCTGTGACATGTGATATAGATGTGGTAGGAGCCAGAATGAAAACACATCCATCAGGGAATCTACTGAAAATATGAAGTCAGGATACGGCATTTGTGGCTGCTGGGTGGAACAACTGGTCCACCACAAGTATAACAGAAGCAGCTCCTGCCAAGAGAACGACAGTCGGCAGGATGTTGTGTGTGGAACGAACTGTGCAAGGATTCAGGTCTGCTTCTTTTCACTATGTATTCAAAGCTTTCTCATCATATAGGAAAGGTAGAACTCTTGTGTTTGTCTTCTCTTGCAGCTGCAGGATGACTCGCTCTGATGGAGTTTGCAGGCTGGATTAAAGCAGATTAGTGAGAAATAAAATCCTCTGTAATATTGAGTACTTTTTTAGGAGTGCTTTGGATGGCAATTAAAAACACTTAAAAAGAGACAGATGTTACTTTCAATTAAAATGTCAACATATTTATTTCTGCTCTGTTTCTCACTGGATGACGACCCGGCTTTACTTTCCAGGACCTACATAGTTGATATGAACCTCCTGCACTGTGAAGGCAATCTCCATGTTGTTACACTTTTGATATTTCCCCAAATGTTTTTTTTTTTCTCCTGTTTTTTATCCACACTCTGTACAACCACACTGTGGGGATCCTGTTTTTTTCCATGCTCTAACACCTCATGCAGCTCCTGAGTGGCAGGGGGCGGAGCCAATCTTCTTCAGATGTTTCCTGTTCAGTTGATGAAGATCCTCCGTAGTAAGACAGCATGGACCAACTAGACTGTACTGGACCATCCCAAACACTTGTGTGTGTATGTGGGTGGGGTTGGGGTGTTTGCTTAGATATATATAGATACATCATGAATGTAGTACTCCCTACTACCTTGTATGCATATTTGTCTTTTTCTATTTTGTGTATTCTGCTTTATATATATAAGTATTTTATATTTTAACTTTTAGCAAATGCTATTGGATGCCTTGAATTTGCCCCAGGGATGAATAAAGTGTCTGTCTGTCTGTCATTGTCCAATATTTGTTACTTAGGGGGTTGGGGGGGGGGGGGGGTCCTCCCCCAAAAAAGTAGAAATCATTTGCTGCATTTTGGTGTATTTCAATGGGTTGTTGAACATCTATGTTAACTACATTTATAAACACTTGATTGAATAACTATGTTTTTATGAACAACAAGAAGTAGTCTGTCCAACATCTCTCCCTGTGTGAATAGAACACGCTCTGCATCTCTCAAGCGTCCTCGCACCTGCTCCAGTATTGTCTCCAATGCCACTTCCTTCATGTGTGTCAATTCTCTGTTGTTTAGTTGTACAGTGAGAAGATATTTTTAATGAAAGTCAATTGGGTTATCTTTTCAACATTTTGATCGCTGTTATTTTGACAAATTGGCGCCGTTGTTTTGATATATGATGTACGTAATGTGAGTGCCCATCAAACATTTCTCTTGTATTTTCAATAAATAATCGACATTTTATTAATGACCCACTGAAACTGTAAAACTGATTAGCAATTTAATTGTGCTGTTTAATTACATTTTTGTGTTTTTCATTAAATTGTTAGTTTTTTTAAGTGTAGAAGCAGAAATGCTTACTTGGAGGCTCAGCTCTGATGTGATATTAGGATGCTCTTAAGTGGCTGTTGTGTTTAAAATGAGTGTTTATATCATTATTTTCAGATCGCATATCCAATATAGGTTTTATTTGTTCAAGGCAGTCAAGTTTGTTCATAACTTTATTATTAAGCCTGAGAGTTACTGGATCCAAGCAAACAATGCACCCTGTCAAAATAAGAGAGTTCCCGGATCCTGTTCCGGAAGGATCCGGCTCAGATTAAGTCCTGGTTTGCTGTTTCAAACGTCCACATCTGTCTACGTATTAACAGCTCCTAACGTTCCCACAGAACCCCACTTTAAAATGGCCATACTTTCTCTGTGACACATCTACGTCTGTCGAATGAAACCGTCTCACTTCCTGCCGCCAACAAAACACAACTTCTTACACGTTTAGCTTCAAGTCTAATAAAAACCAGTTCCACAAATAGAAAACTACAGTATATTTACAGGACGTTCTTTTAAAGCTCTGAAACACGATTCACTCGTGTTTTCCCTGAATCTGAACCTGAGTTTCCACATTAATTGCTACGCGTCGTCCAGCTGATCAAATTAAACGAACATATCTGCTGCCTCTCCTGATTACAGAAGACGTGATTTTACCGTTCCTTCATTCTCGGTGAGATGTTCCAGTGTAGGAAAGTAGAAAATGAAGTGAGCTGACTTCAGGTAAACTATCGGCCTTCTCTTCTCATCAGTACGGAGAAAACTTCTGCCGCTCTGACCTCTTAACGCCAGACGACGGCATCTTCCCGGTGAACGGAGACAAACCCTGGGTCAGGCCGGAAGCGGCTGCCGGGTGGACGGTCAGGACGGGGAGCGTTTTCATGCCGAGCAGGCTGGAGAGGGGGATGGCGTAATGCGGGTTTTGGATGGTCGGTAAAGTGGAGGGCGAGTGGACGTTAATGGTGGCGGGAGCTGCGGCGCCGGCTGCCAGGACGGCGGTGGAGGTGGTGGGGGCGCTCTGAGAGAAGCTCATGTTCAGGTCGATGGGGGTGGCAGAGGAAGCCACCTGCATGGTGTATTTAGCCATCTCTAAGCTGCAGGATGGGTTAACCGGGG